GAAGACTCCAGCCAAGAACCCTTCAAAAGGTCCAAGCAAGAGCCTTTCAAAAAGTCCAAAGTCACCTCAAATAAGCCCTTCCAAATCAATATGATTGCTATTTATAATATAAATACATTAATGTAGCTCTATTACTCATCTATAATTGATCGAGTACAAAATTCTGGGGGTTTTTTGGTGAAAATAAGGTATTGTGTTACAATTGTGTCGTAAGTCCAAGGACTGCCTGTATACTCGAGAGATATTTTGGGCGGGGGGCTGGACTTGATGATCTTCCGAGGTCCCTTCCAGCCCTAATGTCTATGAAATCTATGAAATCTATGATCCAAGAAAGGGGACTATGCCCCTCACTACAGAGGAAGGCAAGAACCCTCAGAGTCCATGCCAATCTGAATGCATATGTGGCAGTTGGGTTGACCCTGAGTGGAGGAGGAAGACATTCTTCCCAGGAACCGCTGGGAGTTTATACATGTGCTCTGGGAGGCGAGAGCCCCTCTAATTAAAGTGCCCAGAATGTCATGTGTATCAGTGTCCCTGCTCTGAAAAATGGTGGCGGGGGCACTTTAACTAAAGCGGCGGGGGCACTTTAACTCCTGCCGCCATTTTTAAACATGAGGACACTGATACACATGACTCTGGAGTCTGCTGGAGTGCAGTAATTATCACACTCCAGCAGATGCAACTAATCAAGTATGTACCGAAGCATTGTAATTACAGCATGTCGGAGCAGCCTCGATGGGCGTGTATAGGCACCTTCTGGGTTTAAGTCTCAGCATGAGCATCAGCACACCCAAGTCAAAATCCCAGCTTTGGCTACAGCTAACACCCAATGCATCTATAATCAAAGCTTATTCAACTTCTTAAAAACCTCCAATGAAGAGGATTCTACAACTTTTGTAGGCAGTCTATTCCATTGCCTCACTATTCTGAAAGGGAAGAAGTTTTTCCCTGATATCCTAGATACATCTACTTGGCTGTAATTTCAAGCCATTGCTACATGTCATACTCTCTGTAATAGGGGAAAAAGTTGTTCTCCCTCTTTTTTTTTTTGGTAGCACTTCAATATTAAAAGTACATTTCTTCCAAAATGATTGGTAGAAAAATATTTTAGCCATTCTGATGCATTCATTTCAGACTTGATATCCCATGGAGATAAATGGACAAATTCATACCTCTTGATGCTATTGTTTCAGGCTTCAACAGACGCTAACCTTGCTGTTTTAAAATGAATGCTGGAGCACAGTTCCCCAAGATAGGGTAAGAGAAGGTATTCTATGACTAATTCCATGGATGTGGAATTATAGTATTGACATAGCTCACTACAGAGGTGTACAAAATCATAGTGACAATAAGGCCTGTATTTACATGCACATACATTTTCTGACAAATTCAGCTTTAGGGCTGAAACTTATGACATCTGGTTTTTGACCAGGGAGTTTTAAGTTGGGAAAGGTTGAGTAAAATCTAGTTAGCTGTTCCTGAATTCTCCAAAAGTTAAGAAAAACCCATGCTTCCTTTATAAAAAAAAATGCAGTGACATTAATTTTTGCCAGGTAGATGGGATATTTTCTATTTCTATTTACATGTATAGCTTTTGACTTTCATAAAAATATAGTTGACAAAGCATACAGGAATGAGATTAGAAAAGAACAGGAGATTCTTTTTTGTTTTGCATATTTTTGGATCATCTACTCCAATGCAAAGTGAATACAAAATATAAGTCACGAAGGAAGCATCTTACATCCAGGGTGAATCACATTTTTCACACTTTGCAAATGAACTTTTTTATGCAATCATATGTGAGTGAAAAGTGAAACAAAAATAATCACCATCCAAGTGACTTACAATAAGTAGGAGACAGAGGCTTCTACAGCAGATTGCCGTGGTGTGCTGAAGTCCACGTTGACTATGTTGTCAGTACTTGGGGATCGAATAAATGCCAAGGACCCTCTACGCTCTCCCTGGTGAAAGAAATAAGGCACATTATTGCTCTACAATATTCAGCCAAAGGATATATTAAGTTAATACTTGTATATCAGAAAACTTGCCATCTTTTTTGAAACTTCCATGGATGCAAAGCACAAAAGAACAAGGAAGAATTTTTATTTATGTAATAGGATTTTTTTCCTCATGTGATTTATTTACCTAGGGTGAAATTCAACCTTGTGCAAAGGACTGAAAAACAGCCATGCCATTTGAGTCACAGTTTACAGCTGTATGTTTAAAGCATACGTGATTTTACAAGAACTTGGCTCTTTGCAAATTGCTAACCTATGCTTAAAAAGCCATCAGAGAGAGTCACTGAATGTCTTCATTTCCATTTTTTCTCAAAAAGGAATTATTTTCAATTATGGACAAAAAGATTTTCAAATAGCAGATCACAACACAGAAGAATATACATATCTGTGTTCTTCTATTGGTACTCATTACTGTTCTAACTGCAATGCCTTCCAAGAAATAACAATTATAGCTTTCTCTTCCTTCATAGCCAGGAGCCGAGTGTTAATTTGGCACTGACTGTCTGTGTGTGTTTGCCAGCAGGAAGAATGTTTGAGTGGAAGATGCATTGAAAAAATGAGTTTTGCTTTTAGTTCTAAGAGTAATTACCCTCAGAGTTAATTCCTGTGAAAGTTTGGTCACCTGTACTCACAAACCTCACTCTTCTACTTGGCAATTTTATTGTTCAGAAAGTTGGTGGCCATTGAGTGGAGTTATAGTTGTAGGGGATGAAAAATGCTCTCAGGTAGTGATACCAATCCCAGATATGTGGGTTTGGTTAGCACAGAGACCTTAGACTTGATTTTACAGCTAAACCTACAATCAATGAGGAACAGAAAAATATCCATCCCCGCAAAGACGGAAGTATTTCATTCTTAAAATAAAGCATCACCATCATCATCATCTTGTGATTTCTTAAATTATACTCTGTAATGACCATATTAGATTTCCATAAGCACACAACACAGCAAGCAAGAAAGTCTAAATACATTGGAGCAAATTTATACCCCATGTCTTTCAGACAGCAAATATTTATAAAGATAGGAAAAAGAGGATTACAAAATAGAAAGATGCAAAGTAAGATATAGTATCTGAAAGTGCTATTGAATCATTTTTGTTTACATTGGCTATATATCACATTGGCAATTTCCCTTTTCTTTTAAGACATGTGGGGCCAACTTTTATTATCTGCTGCTTCAGAAAGAACTAGGTTTGTGAATCTGTATGTAGCCTGTCAGTAAGACTTAAGAGTTGAAGGCTCTCACTCCATCTAGCCAATGCCCAAGATGGGCAGTAACAGGATACCAAACTAGAGGGGGGAGAAGACACAATATCTGTGCCATTATCTGTAGTGGAATGAGCAAAGGGACATTCAGACATGCATGTAATGTAGTCAAAGGACATATCTGTATAACACTAGGTTCAGAAAAAATGATTACAGCACTTGAGGATATCCCTGAAGCTCCTTCATTCAGAACACAAACCAATGCAGTTGTGAAAGAGAGCAGACAATGTACACATAAAGCAACAGTTACAAACCAGCAGTATTTTGTGTGTATGGCTGTTTATCTGTGATAAGGAAACCTGGGTGATGCAGGTAAACATGTTAGCAGCGTGTTCTTTGCTGCTTTGTGTGAAGACACACACCAGTGCTGTGCCACAGCGGTCACAAAGTACATCTGTCAGCTGCCCAGCCTGCTTACACTCTTCACAGGGCAGCTTCTCCTTCATGGGCAGATTTTAGAGGGTGTTAGTGCAGACTCATGAGCCACAGAGTATGCTTCTCCTATGTCCATAACACATGTTAATGACTCTGTGACAATACCTTTCAGATAATAGGCTTATGTGTATAATCACATTCCCTCATATACACTCTCTTTCACACATACTTGATTGAATTCGACTAACGCAGCACAAGGACAGGTAAGCTCATGAATGTATTCTTGAAATGTCACATATGATTTCTTTAACCCTCTGGCAGAATCCAAGACTCAAAACTGCCTTGACATTTTTTGATAACATTGTTTTTACTGACTTACACTTAATCTGGGTCTCAAGGGAAATTAGTTTCCGGTTTTTTTAAAAAGCACTCATTTGGGAGTTACTTCTAATGAGAGATGGGAGTGGAAGTGTTCTTGAGAACTTTGTCCATAACACCCAATCTGATCTATCTTTTAGGCTCAGTGACAGCCAGGGTTAACCATAAAGAGTCTCCCTCTACACCACAATGGGGAAAGGATTCCTCCTGGTTATGATGGGAGGCAGCTTCTTTGCTTGTGATCATCTTGGGAAGGCTTAGAGTCATACCATCTTAATTCTAGACTCAAACTCAGTAAAACTCATTTAGCAGGCTGGTATAATTTAAGGTGGCTTTGGCCACTACTTCTGAAGGTCCTTATATGCGAATGCAACTGAACCAGCTATGTCCCTTTAATGATGATCATACAGCGATAACAACATTAACTGTTCTGCTCTGCTGCCTCTGACATGCAGCGGATATGAAGAATGAGTAACTGCAGTTGCCAATTTGGGTGGAAGGGACACACTGGAAAAAAATCAAAATGTGAAACCAAATACCTGAGGTAAACAGGTATCCCTTTTGTACTTCTTTCATGAAGTCAATATGTGACACTGGGCACATAAAATAATTAGGCAGGTCCAAAGGGACAGTGAGCTGCTTGAAGCACAAAACACTTTTAGAGGATAGGTGTTTCACTTAAAACATAATGTTTGTCTACAGAAATTGCTGGTCACAGGTAGTTTGGCTGTCTGTGAAGAGTCAACTTTCATCATACTTTGGGAAGCACCTGTATGTACGACAACTATAGCAAGGCACCTTGACCTAAGCTTTCTGTAGCGATGGGTGTATGCTGGATGTTTGGTTTGATGGATGAAATCAAATAAATTAGAAAAAAATATTAGATTCAAGTTAAATCAAAAGAAAATTCTTTCTAAAAAATGACAACTAATTTTCATTTTGGTAAGTCCAAACATTTTCTTCAACCAACATTATTATTTTTTTAATTTAGGTCAACTTTAAGTAAATAGGCTATTTTGAAACAAGGAAGTGAAATAAATTTGCATTTCTGAAACTAAAATTTGTTTAAAAATGAAAGGTTCTGATATTTAACAAAATATTTTTCATTTTTCCATCTAAAACTATTTGCTGAATTTGGCCCAATTTCACAAAGAGTTTAGGTCCCTCCATTTTTTTAGTGACTACTATATGTAGAAAAACTTTTGCCTGGCAATTCATATGTGGGTCTAGCTGACTGGCTGAAGACTGGCTAAGTGCAAGAGTATGGACTAACTAGACCTTCTCATAATCACAGTCACAAGATGTAGAATCACAACAGGAGGAAGATGAGGCTATAAAGATAGTATCCCAGTCTGTCAGTGCCTAGAGATTGGTAGAAATGTAGGATATCTGTAAGCTTCTGGTTCTCAGAATGAGAGCTGTGAACTTGGTCATTCCTAAAGCTCTTCCTTGTATTTCACACAAGAAAGGGGTAGTGAGTTAGAAGAGAGGTTGGTCCCTCAAAAAGAGTGTCGTTTTACAATGTGGCTCACAAAATGTGAAAGCTGGAGAACCATTGCAAAAGGATTTTGTTCTTAAGTTACTTTGAATTTGCTGGTGCAGGAAAAAAAATTGTCTTTTGGTGTCAGATTTTCAAACAGATTCTGACACATTTATAGAGGTTGATATCATGTACACACTTGCATAATCCCAGTGAAATCATGGTACTACTCAATGCAAGGTGAGGCTGGTGAACAGCTCCTAAGTGACACCTAACACAACAGTACCAGGACATATAGAGGGCACATGGGCACCGAGGAATTAGGGTAACACAGGGAAACCACACAAACAGGTAATAATAGGCCACAGTGCATTTAAAATACCTTTTATGCATACATAAAATATAGATGAAAAGAAATTTGCTTTAGATTCTTCTCCCCTAATACACCAAAGGCAATATCTTGTGTGTGTGTGTGTGTGTAAAATCTACAAAAAAGAGAGATGACATTACTAAGAGCAAGAGAAATTGCTTAGAAGTACCTCAGCCACATAGCTAATGGCATCCTTCAGGTTGAGTTCATGGAAAACATTAAGAATCCGGTCTCTTGATTTCTGTGCCGACCTTCTCATCAGTACTTTACTGAGAATTTTCCTATCAAAATTGGTCCACCTAATGATTTAAAACAAACTTTTAGCAGTGGCAAACAATCACAATTACAGCATTTTCCCTTTAGCCTGAGCAGCCATTCCTGGACACTAAGCATTTTGTGCACCTTACTAAATATAGCAAAGCATGTTTTTGAAAAAACTTTGTGTGGAAGTTAGGCATTTAAAAAAAAAGTCTTTTGTGAGGTGCAACCACCAGTTGTAGCTACTGATGAATAAAAGCAGCAATCGGTTTATGATTACACTATCCAATATCTAGTTTCAAAATCAGTAAGATACACTGGGGAATACTGCTATCTAATCTTTCTGCTTCTGACTACTTACTTGTTTATTATAGCCACAGAGAGGCTATAATTATAGCCACAGAGAGGCTATAATTTTGTTCCAGTTCAAATATGCAAAGGTTTTCCTCCCAAATAGATTTGACAGGAATAGATCCCTTGCTCTAAATGATGAGATTTGAAAACTTCATCCAAAGCCTTAGTTGTGGCACTGTATTTCACAAACATCCATTTTCCTTGCCATTTGGTAGAGGAACACTATCACTACTTTAAATAACATTCCCATTTCCTTAACTATTCCAATTCAGGAAAATAAGGGCAGTTAGCATAACTTACTTGTCTCGCAAGTAATTATGTCCTATTTGTCCTGATATGTCTTCAATAGCAGAAAGAATATGATCAAAAGCCTAGGAAAATAAGGATAGTATTAATGTCACATGGAGCGCATGGGGTTTAAAGTAAAGTGCTGCTTTTGTTTTTTGTTTTTTTACGTATGTAAGCAGCTCACTGATTATTCCTGTTTTATATAGGTTTAAGTAAAAGATGGAAAATTCTGTTTTTAACTTTCATTTTTATTCCTCTTGTATCATATCTCACTTTTGCATCTCTTTCCCCCCCACACTTTTGAAGCGCATGAGCCATTGTTACTCCCTCTTCTAAACCAGTTGGTAGTTTCACATTCTGTGTCCTTTTAGTTCCATGTCCATGCTCTTGGAGAATAGAAATTTCCCTCAGCAGAGAAGGAATAGCAATCTTTATTATTAGCTCTGCCTAATACTCAATACCTGGGGCCAAGTTTTGTCCTCAGTGGCTGTGTCTACATGAGCAGAGGACAGTGCAGTTGTGCAAGTCCTAAATGACTGTGCAGTAACCAGCATTGCTGTAGTGTTGCTGGGCACTAACTGTGATATGACACTACTGAGCAGTAACTCATTGCTACTGTGCAGTAGCATCAAAAAAAAAACATGTGGCAATGGTACTGCGAATTAACACTGGTTACTGTGTAGTCATTTAGTACTTGCTTATGCACTGGATACTTATGCAAGTACTAAATGACTGTGCAGTAACCAGTGTTAGTGCACAGTACTGTTGCTGCGCAGTTTTCTTCCCCGACACTACTGTGCAGTAGCAATGAGCTACTGTTCAGTACCTTGTTACTACTGCGCAATAGCGTCATGTCACAGTTAGTGCCTGGCAATGCTACTGCAAGGTAGCAATGAGCTACTGTGCAGTAGCATTGGAAAAAAACCACACGGTGATGGTACTGCGCCAGCGTTACTGTGCAGTCATTTAGTAACAACTGTGCAGTACTCCACTCGTGTAGATGCAGCCACTGAGGACAAAACTTGGCCCCAGGTATTGAGTATTAGGCAGAGTTAAAATAAAGATGGCTGTTCCTTCTCTGCTGAGGGAAATGTCTACTCTCTAAAAGAATGGACAAACAGCTAAAAGGATGCAGAGTGTGAAACTACTAACTGGCTTAGAAGAGGCAGTAACAATGGCTTATGCACTTATAAAGGAAAAAAAAAGGAATAACTGGACATGTCTAGCTGAGACATTACTGTGCAGTAGCTTGTTGCTACCATACAGTAGCATTGCCAGACACTAACCATGACATGCTCTTACTGTGCAGTAGTAACAAGCTACTGAGCAGTAGCTCATTGCGCAGTAACACCAATTACTTTTCAGTCATTTCATACTTGCTTATGCAAGAACTAAATAACTGTGCAGTGACAACTGCGCAGTCCGCTGCTTGTGCAGTTGTAGCCACTGACAAGGGTATAACTCAATTTATTTATGTGGAATTACTCTGACCCCAGATTTAGGTCAATAAGATTGAGAGCAGAATTTGGTGTTTTGTTTGCATAGTTTCTAAAAACTTTATCCTGAATATCTGACTGCTTTTAGGGGACCTACTAATCAACAGATTTTGAATAAGGCATTGGGTGACTGTTGCACTTGATTAGCCTTATTACTGAATAGAATATATCTACAATGCGAAATGTGACTTCGGCAAATATATAACACAGCCACAGATGTTCAGAGAAAGGTGATATAAGGAAGATACCTATCTAATACTGGCCAGGGCCAGTATTTTTACCTTTTTAAGGGTGGCACAGGGCTGCACCTCCTACAAGCTCCTGGAGGCAATGAGCTGCCCTGAGACACAATATCTACTGGGACTCTTGTTGTAGTGGTGCAATGTTACCCTGGACCCAACGAAGGAATCTGGTTAATGGCATCACTTCACCCGTAGCTTGTTACTTGCACAAAGGCACCTGACAAAAATGTGACTAGATAGCGTTTTAATTGATGGAAAAAAGAATAAAAGATGAATGTATATTTACAGATGGCTTGCATGTTTTTGCTTTTTCATGGGCATTCATGAAGCTTTCCTTTCATTTCTCTTCAAAACAAATGCCATCTCAACAGACCAGCAAGAGTAAGCATAAACATCTTAGCTGTTTGATAATGTTCAAATTGGAGTCCTCTGACTCTCTCAGGAGCAGGGCTGAACAATTTTGCAAGTTGCAAGTTCATTGCTCAGCCTATTATGTCCTTACATAAATAGCGAATTGTAAAATATTTTTTGTTTTTTTACTTTATCCTGGGAGCCTAAAGTCAAGATGCCATTACTAATTTGTCCAAAGGAAGAATAAATAGCATCTCCACTGTTTCAGAGGCTGGGTAAGTTATCTTCCACAGTGCTTTCTGTTTCTGATGGTCTATCTGTGATAGATGGGGTTGCACAATGCACTTAACAGACAAAAAGGCCAACCCAACCATCATTTCTAAAACTGGCTGAAATTACAGCCAATTATTTCAACTATTCAGTTATCTGACTGCAGGATGTGCCCGTAATCTGCAGGTGACTTAAAAAAAGAGAGAAATGTTTTAACTACTGAGGAAAAAACCCTCACATAATCAACAAACTGAGAAAAAAGCCTGTGGTGTATATTATACATGTAAATGTACATTTCATACATCTTTCCTTAATCAAACAATTTGATTTTGCAAGCACTACGGGCCCAATTAACTCAGCAATATTTCAATTCAGTAAAAGTTTCAGACCAAAAAAGGAAAGGTTCTTGATAACCTGTTTAGAAATGTCTTTCTATTTTCCCCCACCACTGCTAATAGTTTCTATTGCAAACCATGAACCCTGGGGATAGTGCTTTTAAAACCTTACCCTGCCATGGAGCTTTTCATTCAGTTTTGGTTCCCTGTGTTCACTTCTCTTCACTTTCAGCCACTGGACCAAAGGCTTGATTGTCAAACCCTGCACAATGAGACATTACAATAAACATTTTAACTATCACTTTAGAAACCTGTTTGACACCTATTCTAAGCTATAGGAAAATAATAAATTGTCCAGTGTTCCAAAACCAAGACTCTAAGAACACTAATTTTTTTTGAGATACCTCCTCAGATGTTGTGTAGCATAGCCCCCAGTAGAGTCAATGGTGATTTCTTCAGCTGGAAATTGTAATTTTATTTAGAAGCTAAATAACATCATACTCTATGAAAAGTCTGAGCTCATATAAGTGACATGAGGGACACTCCAGTATGAGTATGCTCAGTGACATTTTGGGCCTGCTGAGGCAAAACTCCTATTTACTGCTGGAGGGCTGGGATTTCCCTTCCCTTCCCCTCCTCCCTGTCCTGTCTATACAGCACTTCCCTGTTTAGAAGCTAAACCTTGTGCTTAGGATGATGCTTGGTAAAGCATTTTAATATTTGAAAATGTAGTAAACAAGAAATGACTGCTCCCCTCTACTTATTCAGTGGACGTGAAAGATGCCATTAATTTGAACTCTATTAATACGCTTCATTCAAGGCAGAACATTTTTTAGAACAGAGAAAATTGTGTTTTGTCCCATGTGGTGCCATGTGAAAGCATAAAGTGGGATCCTTGTTACTAAAATTATAAAGCCAATTATGCTTCTGGCTCGCTGAAACAATATATAAGCCACAGTTGAGAGCTGCTTTCAATTTAGTGCTACCACCATGCCTTTTGGGGGTCTCCTCTTTTTCGTAAAGAAACCAGATCAAGTAACTATATTACCTGGAATATAACAGTGAAGAACACAACGATGATGGTTGTGCTGACAAACAGGTTTTTCGCTTTCATTTTGTCCTGATCCAGAAGTGCAACCAGGGCAAAAGCAACAGCTCCACGTAATCCACCATACGACATCACTACCTGATCTATTATTCCCAGCTGGACCATTCTGTAATGGTTTAGAATCCACGTCTGTATAACGACCCCTATAAACACAAATGTCAAAGCCTCATCCACATGTCACAAAAAATAGTCTGATCATCTCTTACAAGCAAAATCCCTTTCTACCTTTATGATTTTCTTCTTATAATCACCTTGCAGCCCTTGTGACCTTCTCCTTCAATTCTAATCAAAGGAAATAGATGCAGCTTGTCCTGGCAGCCAGAAATCCTGCTCTAACTAAGGGCCAGTGATGGGAGTCATATAGGAGTTGGATGAGGGGTGCTAGCCCCTCTGGCGTGGGCCCACTGGATAAATTCTGGTTCATTTGAGGTCAATGGCAAAACTCCCGTTAGCCAGGATTTCACCAGGGCACTCCACTACCATTGGTGATAAGGGTCCCAGTTCAGGAGGCCCTTGGCAACACAATGCACTGAACAATGCACATCAGACTGGAAATGAAATGAAGGAAGAAGAGATGAATTTCTAGTATCTTCTGAAGAAGCTATACCACTGATTTCTTTGACCATACACTAGTGGCATTATGCCAACACTCCATCTACACCGCGGGTCTGTGGAGAGGCTCCCTCAGCAAGAGTTCAAGAAAGTGGAAAACATCACGTTGCTTCCAGATGAGTAACTGGAGGCATCCCCATAAAGGGATGCTGTGCATGCTATGGGTGGCAATTAGCAAGCGTCCTCCTTTTTGGGTCACCTCTAGCTGGAAGCAGTCTTTTTTGTTCCAACAAACACAGCTATGATCACCATCTGCTAGTAAAACAGATCTTTGTAAATATAGTCAGATCACTGCTGTGAATCCTACAGGAGAACATGAGCCATAATTAGGTAAGGCAGCAGCACCAGGCCTCCACTAATTTCAGTCAACTTTGTAGTTTAATAGCTTTCCACTCTTGTTGTCATTGTTGATTTTGGTAATCACATTTATAAAAAGATGGTCAGCACTGAGATGCTCCCTTCTTTTTATACTGCAACTATAGTGATGGTGTTAGTTTTCTCATATTACCTCAAAATGATAGAAGTCCAAAGTTTAAAAAAAGTCTAGTAAAATGGCATAGGTGGACATAGGTAAGTGGAAAACAGCAAAAACCTAGGCAGAATACCCTAGAAATGAACAGACATAGGGAGGGTCCCCCCCACAAAAAAGAATGAGTTCCTGTGCTACTGTAGACATCCAGTGTGCAACAAAGTAACTGGGATTATATCATTGTATTGGCACTATACATATGAATTAGTTTCAAATAAATAAAAATTCCAAATAACAATAAAGCATATTCCTATAGTATAGCTATTAGTCAAGTCTATCTATGTTGTTTAATTACTGTTTTGTTAAGTGTTGTGATATTGCAAAAAAGACAGCTGTGTAACATGATCTGGTAACTCTTGGGTAAAAAATGCATGTGTATTTTGTTGTACACACTCACAAAGAAATTACACCAAGCTTATTTTGTGCAGGTCAGTGGTTCTCTACCTTTTTAGAATCAGAGCACCCTTCCACAATGTTTCAAATTTGGCGGTGCCCCAGCTGAGAACCACTGTTGTGCTGCATCATTGGTTCTTAATTGGGGTGACTCTGGTGTCAACTAAAAGACACTCACTCTTTGTTTTTCACCAATCATTGGAAATTATCTCCATGTTATGACTGTGAATCTGAGATGAAAATGTATATACCTCTTATGTCACCAGGCTCCAAATACGAAGCGTACCTAAATAAATAAATTAGCTTAATCCAAGCTCTTAATTATTGGACCGAAAGAGATGGCTGAGTAAAGACATGATTAATATAATGTGCAAGGTTTTTTTTTAGGTTGCAGCTTCTAACAAAAATCCCCATCTATCTAACACATCAATGATGTACATTACAGCAGGAAAATTCAAGGAACTAGTCCTTGGACTAATCAGGTGTGCCACCTCACATATCCTATTAAAAACTATCATCATTTCAGTGAATGATGAGGTCTACTAGAGAATCCATTCTTTTTCTAAGGAACAGTCATAACCTTAACCCAAAATAATGAAAGCTACATATGTACAAGCCTCCAAGATACTCTGTGGCATGAAAGTATGTTGTTGCAACAAGACTCCAAATTTTAATACATGACTACAGCAGGAAAATTGTTTATCTTACCAATGACTCTGAATACTGAGATGAAGACCAATGTTAAGAGTATAAAAGCTGTGTTCCAGGTCCAGATATCAGGATTTACAGCTGAAATTCCCAGGAACATGAAGATAATAGTCTCAGCTCCACTAGCCATCATTTTCATGGTATATCTCACAGTGGTAGAAGACTGCTCAGAAATATTAGCTTTGACATATTTTTGACAGCAGATGCCACAGAAAGTTATCCTGAAAAGAAATCCATCATTTGTTGAATAACACTTGTAATGTATTTCCCTTTGCCATCCAAGCTATCAAATTGTGACAAAAAAATTAAACTGTGACTTTAAGAATTCTCGGAAACTAAGGCAAAGAGGAATACAAAACTCTAAAATTCTGGGTTCAGATGTGATACCTTCTATTAGATCAACTAAAAA